TAAAGATTTTAAAATTTTTAATAATCTATAATATATCCTAGATAGATAAACCGTCTCCGCTTAGAATCGTTTTTCGTATACAATTATATAATATCATTGGATTCAAATTTAATTCCATCCATTACAGTAACCCACTTGTAACCTACTGTACAGCAGAGCGACATCCACGACTTGCCGATTTTTGGTTATAATATTATCTAATATCTAATGCCGTTTTGTTTATTTTCAAATAATTTAAGCAAATAACAAAAAATAGGCATCAAATGACGTAAGCGACTAATTATATTCTCGAAAATGTTTGGCGTATAAGCTTATAAATTAATATTTCAGGAAAAAAAAATAACGATTCCTATTTTATATGTTGCCAACTTATTTAGGATACATATAATTATCTGAAAAGATTGTTTAAGTAAAATTCGATGAAATAACTTTAAATGACTTAAAAATCAAAAATCAAATTCAGAAAATAAATCGTTTTTTTGGCTTTTTGTAATATTTATAAAATTTCGGATACAACCTTTTTTCTATCCACCATCTATATAGCGATTAGTGTATGTGAAGTGTACACTATACGACTCACGAGGACGAGGCAGACAGAGCAAACACAAGTGCATTTGACTGTTTTGTTTCATGTTATGATCATCTCATTTTGTTGTTAAATTTTTACATTCTGACATTCCGTTTAGTTACGGTACCACTTCAAGTTCAATACCTATTCAAAGTGTTTTTACATATTATGGTTGCATCGRACTTATATTTCATAATTCGTGTGTGATTTTAAAATTACTTACTATTTTATCCATTTGTTAGATGGTACTAGTAAGTAATACTTGCGACCATGTGACTGTGATTTCATCTTCATTGCCATTTGTATATTATTGTAATAAAAAACTGTAGTTTATATTTATTTATTTTTTCATGGTGAATTAAGGCTAAATATAATACAAATATAAAAACCTGTAATATTTTTCACTGTCTAACTAGAACGTTTTAAATACTATAAAGCTACAACATGATTTATTATCTCGCAATTGTAGACTGTAAATAAAGTTTCGTTATCTGAACTGCTTGCTTTTTAATTATAATTTATCAATACTTAATAGAATAAATAGAATAATAATATAAAATTTTTATTATGTATGTATTATTGTGTAATAATTTTTTTTTCAGAAGAAGATAATGAGTCCGATGAATATTTTCGGTACATAAACAGAGTGCGGTAAAATAAAGGACTCATTTTGTTTTAAATCACGCATCAATCATCTACAGTTCACGTTACTTACAATTCACTCTATTTTGCTCAACTATACCACAAAAATAAAAATGTTGCACAAAACAATGATTTCAATAGTTATTTTTACACTTGTCAGTTGTACGCGTTACGCGTTGTACGCCTTGTACCAGGCAAGAGTCATTGGAATTTCATGAGCGCTGTGCTTCGAGCAATGACGGACAATGGACACAACGTTACAGTTTTTACACCATTTCTAGATGGTAATCGAGAAAACTATACAGAAATAGATATGTCCAATATATATCCCATGAAACTTAATATGAGTATAGTAAGAATGAGAAGAATCTTCAACAATTGGTTCACGCCAATATCTTTCATGATGAAAAATTATGGTAGACAAAGCTGTGAAATATTGCACAACAACGATCAACTAAATGATGTTTGGGAAAACAAATTACAAACCGTTTCTGATGCAATTGTCATTGAACCTGGAATAGCGTCAGGTTGACTATCTTACCTCGGAGCAAACTCAAATTTACCAGTTATATACACGACTCCAATTCCAATAAATACTTATACTGAACGTATTACCTGCGGCGATATCAGTAACCCAGCAACGGTATCACCAATGTTATCTAATTTTGCTTTTCCTAAAACGCTTACTCAACGRTTCATTAATACACTTATTTGGTTGTACACCAGTATAATAGTTAGATTTCAAGAATTCTTACTAAAACTATACTATTCAAAACCTTACGATGAAGACATGATAAATCCTCCATCTTTGGTATTTATGAACACTCATTTCATAAGCGATAAGTCTAGAGTCTAGAACTCTAATTTTGTATTTTTTTTTCATGTTTTTGATTAAATAAATTAAAGAAATATTAAAACTGCTCTAAAATTAACGATTTAATGTATATGAATAAAATGTGTGTATACATTAAGACTATTAAGTAAATTTAAATTACACACTTACATAATGTTGGTAGGTAGGGGGG